AGGATGGAGTACAGTATGATGATAGGGAAGAGTCAATGTCACAAGACGATGAGGAATGGATGTAATTGTATTTGGTTTGTAGATGCATCGGTTTATAAACGTAATTGAAATGAAGATAGATCATTTACTCTATTGCATACGTTGAATGCTGCATATCACAAAGTTTTGTTATAGTATTGACATTAGCTTTCACATTCAATCCAAGTTAATGTACGTGTGAAACTGAACACTTGATGACTACGTTTCACTAATAGACTTCGTAAATTATTGCTCTGACTCTTGGATTGAATTGAATTGTACATATAAATAATAAAATAAACAGAAAAGCTGGATTGAATTCGCTATATTAATATGTAACATAAACAAAATGGAAATAAAATGAAAGTGACTTTTTTTTTACCCAACCACATTAGAAACACATTGAAGAACAGTAGCATCGAAATTTACTGAATGATTAGTAAACCATTTGCTTTTGAAAACCGTTATTGTCCACATACAGTATACTATGCAAGTAACAACGTTTTTTGTATCGTTTTGAAAAATACAGCGGGCAATGCACAGGATGAGGAGGTTTTTCAGCACAAGCAAAATTTGACCCTTTCTGAGATTAGAAGTTTAATTCGTAAGGCTACGCTAACTGGTAAGAGTTTTATAACACCTGAACTTATCTGTAGTAGTCACTGGTCATTCGGATTGACTTACTAATAAAACGTGCAATGCAGTTCTCTGATCCGCGAAACCCCACGATTGGAATGACTTCCGTCCAACTATATTACATATCAAAATGTAGAATTTAATCGAACGTCGATTGCAGAAACTAGATATAAATGTTACGACCGTGTTGAGATAATTTACAAAGAAAAAATAATTTTTTTGGCACAATAGAGCAAAACTTTATTCTACCTTTGTGAAAAAGTTCGTTATTAGCGGCTGCAACAGATTAAGGACAGTCGTCTTACATTGCAAACGCATAGTAACGTTCTCCATATATTGTGTATTATGATAGAATCGAAATATTGTTTACCAATATCAATATAGTAAAAATATAATAATAACATTAACAAAAGCCTTATACTTTGATGTTTCCCAGTTTGGGATTTCTTGTTACAAACAGTGTATTCTTGAGCGCAATTCAATATTTGGATCATTTTCTAGTTATGTCTGTAGGCTACATCCTGCGCTGTTATCTCTTCGTTCGATTCTTTTTTGTTTCCGAAATAATATGGCACCAAGCATGACAACCCTGACGATGACTAAAATGGATGACATCATCGCCTATAAGGCTAAAAAATAATTGCTACCCACAACGATGAAACAATAGTACAATAGCTGACTTGGATTTTTATTCGTTCTCACACGATGCGTAACGCTTTTTCCGTGACACTAAAGATACATAAGCAGCTCATATCCCATCGTCGAAAACTCGTGTTGTTTAGTGTTGTTGTTAATAATATTTAATCCACGGAATAATCTCAAATAAACAATTCCCTTTGAAATCAAATTTACTTTCGTTCATCATCGAAAAAATAATTATTTGACCAGACATACCAATAAACGGCTCTATCACTATTAAACTGTAAAGTTGTCCGTATTATTAATTACGCGAATAGCGGAAGAGAGTTCATAATTGATTATTAAGACGAACATCGTTTAATTAAAGACAAGTGACGTTTACCCGACACGTCGAAATACCAAATCGAAGTTAGCCTTGTTTAAATTATAAATAGACATTCCCCTTCGATTCTGCGATAGAATAATTGTTGTTATTATTCTCGTCGTGGGCACCCTTATTTGGATTACGAGTAAGGAATACTCATACAGGGAGTTAGGAAGCGCGCATAATAATTATTTAATTGAACAATCACCGTAATAAGAGCGGTGACACGGAGCTAAATCCCCCGGTCGGAAGAACACCCTATGCGAAAGATAACCGCTCCCCCAAACCCAGACCATCCGACCGTAACAATATATTCTTCTGTACACGATACAAATTTTAGTAATAGTAACGATAAGTTCGATGTCTCCAAAATACAGTACAAGTTAGTAAACCGGAGTTAATGGAATATTACAGAGCTTTTGATCGAGATGGGATAAGACCCTGTCTTCTGAAACATGATTCGGAACCCCTTTAGTTTGTTCAGAAGTCGCACCTAATGACCACGCAATATGAATCTTTTGGGTTATATATCATAGCAATAGTCGCTGATTGGTCAGCGGTCCCATTTATTTTGACTAGGAGTATTATCTGGAATCGTTATCCAATTGGATACTACAATCACAACCATTTTCAGTAATTGCTTCCAATGTACATTATTATTATGAGCCATGGATGACAAGTAATTATGGGGGAAAAATTTAAGCATGTGTTCTTATCCAATGTAAATGGATAGAATTTATGTACCATTCAATGGTTTGATGGCTAAAGAATTAGCTAAGCATTACAGCTTACGGGGTATTCGAAATGCGACAAGTTGGCAATGTATATTAGCTATACTATATATTAATATGATCTGGCTTGTTTGTCCGAAAAAATTGTGTATGAGCGTGAACTAAGCTCATGGGACTCATCCACGATCTCACGAGTGATTAATCTTATTGTTTAGCCATCTATAAAAATGTTAGTCAACCCCTACATTCTCATATAGTCACTCTGATGCCTGTTTACATTAGCTTTGAACTAGCAAAAGGATTGTCGAAATAAAAGTGAACCAAATGTCACTTAATAAATCTAATAAAACTACAAAATGCCGTGATAACAAAGAGCAATTAAAGCTAAATGGATCATAAATCGAATTTTAACTAAACATTTAAGTGGGGATGTCGATTCCAAACACAGGACCTGAGTTTGAACTTGCATTATCAGCATCGAACCATTTTGAGTGATGCGATAATTGTAGAGAATAACATAACTTAGTTAATAATTAGAAATGTTGATTTGTAACTTAGCGAATTGTAAATAGGCGCAAATTATTAACATCTTTTTTTCTATTAAGGAAACCTGTACAAATGAAGCACCTATAAATGCAACATAGCACTGGGTTGCATTTATGGAGGGTTACTGTACTTATGTTCAATATCAAACTGCAATAGACAAGAGTGACATATTGTTGAACGCGTGGCCTGTCTATAAAGGATGCGATGGGATTGACTGTTACAACATTGATTTCAGATGATAGTTGATAAAGAATGGCAAGAGAAAAAATCAGACTCCTGCCATGTTGTACTTGTAACCAGATTCCTTGGATATTTTCAAATGTCCAAACATTTATTTGCTCGTGATCATAATTAGAGTACCATCAAATTTTAAGATTTTACAATAATAATAAATAATTCTGTACAACAAACTAGAATGTGATAAAATTATATGCTGTATGATACATTTTTAAATAACAATAGTCCCTTGCTCAATCACAAAAATCCATCTTCACGTGGCTTGACATGTGATGGGAATAAAGCATCCACATTCTCAATCAAAAACTCGACTGCTGCATTCCTCAAACCCATGTCTTTAATCTCTGTAGCAGGATCCGATGCTTTGAGTATTGTGGGTCCGAACACGATTGCGAGACTCGTAGATGACATGAGATTCTCCGATCCGTTACGCTTAACTCTGTACAGGTGTTCCAAGAGATAATTGGCAGTTGCATAGTTACCAGCCGGGAGAAGAGCAATGGCTTTTTTAAACAAGTCTAGCTTTTTGTCCGCATATTGGCAGCCTGAAGTGTGAAAATGGTGTGAAAGATGGCACGTATGAATGTTTGTTATACACATTATATATTATATATACGGCTTCCTCATCGTTATCTTACCGGCTGCCTCAATAAACTTGGGATATAGAACAGTCGTCAGAAGTGGATCAGGTAATTCTCCGAGATATTGTTTAAGAACACTTGTTATTGCTGAAATGTCATTATATTCATCTGTATTATTCAGATCAATGTCCTCCCCACGCTGGAAAGCTGATATTATTGTCCGCATCAAAATCTTGCCACCAGCTTTACGATATAGGCCTTCATAATCCATAGCTGCAAATATTAACATTTAAATTAGAATGACCTTACTGTTCATTCAAACAAAATTGTAGAATTTCATAGTATGTAAAGATCCTACCTCTGTTCTCGATAGCAGTAATACACTTTTCGACTAACAACGGTATCTTACGTCCTTCCACCTCCAGCTGTTTGGCAAGGTCGACTCCAAACACGGTCACCGTAGTCATGTTAACCATTTCCTCGGAATCAGTAGAGAATGTTCCAGGATAACCGGAACATCCTATTGACAGCGTTCCGACACACTTATTATGACATGCTAGTCCACATGCTATTCAAACATAGTAAGAATAAACATAACGTAAAGCGCAGAAAAGGTCATAACAAAGCATACTTTTACCCACCATCGCATCTAGCCTCCAACCCCCATATCTTCTCCTGACAACATTCACATTTGATTGGCCTAAAGAACGAATCCTGGTGCCATTTATGTTTACCATTGGAAGACTCGCTTTTTGTCCTCCTATGCTCTCCGTTTGCGAGATTATAAGCGTTGAAATTATCGGGCGTTTGAAGAAACATCTTGGTATCTGACAATGTACTTGTTACAGGGATAGGCGCAGTAATAATTGGTGCTGTAGCACCAGGTCGAAGGATGCTGAAAACGCTCGCCTTTCTCCGTCCGAATTTCTTAGACCATTCTCCTCTTCCAACGCGAGTAGCTGTATTATTCGATTCAGAAATATTCTCAACTGTATATGGCAACGGACTGCGTAAATGCCCATGTGTGCTAGTAGACACTCCATTCTCGGAATGAAGGCTTCCTACGGGTGATTTTGATCTCGTAAAGAAATTAAAGGCATTATTAATCTTATCTCGTTTCTGATGACCATCAATCTGCCGCGTCAATTCATTGTTTAACTCGGCTAATTCTCGATTCTTTGCATTCAGTGTTTTTGCTTCTTCAATGTATTGGTCACGATCCCTGCAAAGCTGTTCGGTCTCTTTCTTTAATCTATCACGCTCATTCTGAAGAAGCTTTATATCGATGATGTAGCCCTGCTTTACTTCATCGAGGTGAGTAGAAATGTGTTTGGCTAACGAAGATGGAAGGTCCGTTGGTTCTAATTCATGAGGGAAGGATCTGTAAATATAGGTTTAAGATGCAATATGTAATTTACATTAGTAAGTATTCCACTAATCCATTTAGTATTGTCTGAAATATTGAGATTAATTACCTGGCAAGACCAGCCTGCTTTTCATTCGCTAATCCCTCAATCTCCTTAATCATTAACTCCCTCTGCAGACTCATCGCCTCCAAATTTCGTTTAGTTTCCTCCAATTCCGAATTCAACGCATGTGACTCCTCAATAATATTCTCCAGAGCCTTCTTCTCACGAGTCAGCTCTGTATTTCTCCTTGTCTGCACTCCTAGCTGAGTGCGTAGCTCATAGATCGAAAATTCAGCTTCTTGGCGGAGTTCCACTTCGCGATTAAATTCTTCTTTTGCCACGCTAAAGTCATCCAATGCCTCTTTGCTGACTATCTGTATTATATGAATTAGTGAGATACGTCAGATAAGTGCTACAGTAAAATACTCAAACAATGACAAAGTACAGCATTGAGTTTCTCATACCTTGAGCTGCTTATAGCTGTTCTCAACGTCAGCCAGTCTCCTCCTAGTAGCCAAAAGCTCCGCCTTTAACTCCTCCATGTCTAGCTCGTCCACTTTTTCTTCTTCACTCCTAGGATTAAAATGTTGTATATTTCTGTCTGGCAGTTTCGCGGAATTTCCGTTTTGTCTCTTCACAGAAGATGACGGTGATATGCCAAAAAGACTATCCCCAGAATCATTCACGGAACCTTTGTTTACAATCTCACCATCAACTTTATCTTTCATACTCTCATGCTCCGTTGTATTTCTTAAATCTGTAAATTTCCTCGGAAACCGTTTTCCAACTTCTGTGTTCGAGGTTGCACTAGCAACAAGATTAATCAGATCGCCCTCATTGTTAATATCGAACGACAGTGGAGGTAATACCGGGGGTCCATTTTCCATGCCAGAAGTAAAACTTTTCGCATGGCGTAGTCCTTTAGAAGGACTAATTGGAGATGAGGAATGAGGTGTTCCCGGAGATTGGGAGCGAGGAGATGAAGGTGGGGCTGATCGGGAGGAGACCGAAGATGATTTTGGGACAGTTGCTGCCGAAGATACCACACTCGTATCTTCGGGGGAGTGGAAGCCAGAACCGGTTTCACGATAGAGTGGATTATCGTTGGTTTTATCGTAGATCTTCTCGCTGGATCGGTAAGATGACGCATGTAGTCTGTGTGATAAACCAAAGCTATCGCTATGTGAACTTGTTAATGAAAATGATCTCGAGCTCTTCCGTGTCTCACTGTGTGTATAATTTATGGTATTCATTGATGGACTGCGGAAGTGCGTGCCTGACCTTCCGATCGATGCATTGCGATTACGTAATAACCGAATGCCGTGCAGGGAGTCGAATGATTCGCTACGTTTTGAGGCTTTCTTTGGCTGGTCCATTGAGATATCGTTGCTGTTACCACCAGGGTTACTGCCAATATTCATCCTTCCTGGACTCGTAGCGTGTGCGGGAACGTTCACAATCGATTGCCTCGTAAATATCTCGCTTAGTGACGTTGTATCTATTAATCGTGATTGACGAATGCTAAATGCGTTTTCGACAGGGGGTATGAGTTCATTATTGTAAATTTTGGACGGGAAGGTTGAATGAATACCGCGTTTGGAGTTTAAAGGCGGATTTTGTTGAATTGAGTTAGGTGTCTGCTGGAGTGGATCAATGAGTGATTAAAGATGGGAGTGTAATTTGTAAATGATAATTAATATTCGAGTAGTGAATCGTGACGATATATAATAATTATAAAACCAATTGTGTACGTCTATAACTAATGGATAAATGGTATATTCATGTATCTTGCCTTGTTTTCGTAGGGTAGTGAAGGTAATGATTTCTCTAATACAAGAGCTGAAAGCATCTGTTTGTCACTCTTCTCTTTATGTCGTCGTATTTTATTCTCTTTCTGACAAGGCATACAATACATTCCCTATTTAAACAGAAATGCCAATATTAGTATTAATCATCGCTTCCTCTTGATGCTTTCATTTGATCTCATTATAACCCCCTAAACCATATCCATCCCTTCCATCCCCTCATAATTAACTGGACTTCCCAGTGCGGATATATAAGCGAATAAAATATCGGGAAAACTAATAGCAAAACAGTCAGGAAAATAAAATATTACCTGACTGGTCTTAACGAAGACTGGCTCCTCTATTTTCATTTGGCATTGTTCACATCGGAAGCAATCAACATGAAACATTTCATCGCCTTTGAACATTTAAACTTAATGTTAATACACGAAGCATAATAGACAACGAAGGTGATCAAACGTGTTAAAAGTAATACACTTACTGTCTATCATAATTGTTATACATCGTGTAATCAATTATACGAAAATCATATTATTAGTTATTTGTCTTGTATATCATCCTATGATTGATCAATCCGCTTTCACATCCTCTGTTTATAAAATGCCTAATGCTGCTAACCTGTCGTTACTGCTTCACCGAGTATTGGCTGTCCGCATATATGACAGTCGTATGAACAGTTCTCACATCTTGGACTCCCATCGGACAGTAATAATATGTTTGAATCGTATTCTACCAAATTTTGACATCTCGCACATCTAAAGCTATTTATATGAATGAAAAAGTTGTAGAGTCAGGAAAATTATTGCAACCAACGTCAGTATAATAAAATAGTCTTGCAACTATTTATTATTGATTTATTAATATTAAATGTTATGATAATTCTTGTTAGGTCGCCGTTCATGGTTGTTGTCAAGTAGAGTATACGCTACCACCTACCAATCGATATGCCATAGTCCCTCTCCAAAGGCTACGACACTGCCCTCCTCGATCAGTAAGTCACAACCCGAGCAAACCGGGTCGAGCTCGTCGTCGATCGGTGAGCTCATATTCATTTTAATTGTATTGCGCGAGTAGTGTCTATTGAATTATGTACAATGAATACAAATATTATGAGAGCGAGGAGACTATTTATTATGCTATAGTCTCCGCAATTCTCCAGCTTTCTTCATTCCAGTTCGGAGACAAAAATTGCAGAATGTAGATCAACGACACGGGTACTGTTTAGGATTTTGTTTTTGTCATACTAAGCTGTGATTTAGAGATTACATTAACAATGGAGAGTGGAACTGTGTATTGACTCCTTATCCCTAAAACAAGCAATACATTGTACTCCGGAACACTCCCTCCGATAACGCCATTACACAGTATATCCCACGGCTTATACGAGATAATACGAAAACTATCTCCTGTAGTTAGGCTTCAATTTATAAATTCTTTCTCTTACTCTGCTTTTTTAACTTGTACTAGAGGTTTTTAAAAGTTCGAACTACAGAAAGTTATTGGAACATTGCTCACGCTTGACATTGAGAACATTCTCCTTTTAAAAGCATCTTGCCATCTAACACTCTTTAGGTGTCCTTCAGTTATTAGATATAACATCCATAATATGATTAAACGAAAGAACTGGTCTTGCCGTGTTTTATCGAGTTCCTACGACTCCGTAGAAGCCGATAATGTAGAACTTTATTGTCTATCTATTAAACTCTATAGAAGTCACCTACAATAACACGACGACACATAAAAGTCGCCACTATATGGTATTGCTACGAATTATGGCGTCATTCACAATTTAGACAAGTTTTGTGGAACTCATGTTTTGAAGGAAAGATCACGAGCTATTGAGCTAAAACATGTGACCGTGTATATTGTCTATTCTTTGCAACCTTTACTAGAGCACGGTTAGGAACGTTCAAAGTTGTACCCTAATCGTATTATTTATACTGCCAGGTGTGTGTGATCTAAAATATTGCCAGGATATACCTGACCTTGTGAACACTGTCGTAGGCACCAACTAAGGGAGAATATTTACTCATGAGTATGAAGGTGTTCTATTTGTCGGGTTGAAAGTTGTTCGTTTCTAATTATAATACGCAGGGTTTTAATAAATGATTGTAAGAATCAGAGGAATGCTATGTTGTATATTCCATGGTCGCGCCAGCTATCGATTTAGCTCTATGCTCAGTCTTAATTCTGAAGAACCCTTTATTCGACCATTGTTACCGTTACTGGATTTTCCAGCTCACCGTCAATGGCGCGCTGTTGACGATAATTCTAAGTTACAATAGTCAGTCTTTAAATTCTCGTCCTCCTATGGTTATTTTTCTACTAACAATAGAATCAGAAATAGATAGCAACTTTGTTAGTGTAGGTATACGCGTGTTTGAACCCACAGTTAAACAAGTAATCATCGATTCTTAATATAGAAAGTCTCGTCTGTCGTATTGGTTCTTCTATGAGATTGTAAATTCAAATAGTAAACTCAATTATTCGTTTCGGATATTCACGTCATTCAGGACGCTATGGACATGAGGCACATTATAATCTTTACTCTATTCATTGTTGAACCAGACACGCTTATTTGCTCATAAGCTCTAGCCCACAAAGCGTAAGCCGGGGGCCCAGCTTGAGTCAGATTGACAAGCCGTCCTGACGTTAAGGGTCTCAACCATTTTTGCGTTGCCCGTACCACGTGCTGCTACGAGTATTTCGGACAATACAATAAATGTCCGCAGTATGTTCAGACTAGTCGATTTTGATGTTTTAATTTAAGGATATCTCATTCGCCAAATCTTTTCTTTTGATAAATCTAAATGTGAAAAAATGCTGAGATTGGTAACAATTTTGTTACCGCGAACATTCCATAGCCATAATTGGGAAAAAAAGAAAGAAAGATAGAAATAGAGCATATTATAAAGAAAGGAGAAAAGACAATTGTTGAAAATAAACAAGTTAATAAAGAAGGGGAAATTAAAGCATAAAGAAAGAAAAAAAAAAGACCGAAACTTGAAAAATGGGTTCATCAAGGAAACATGGAATCGAAAAATATTTTGTACAAGTACCTAAAAGTCTACCTCAGAAATACAGTAGTTAAAGTAATTGATAACAAGTGAATAAGTTGAAAATATCCGTGGATCTGTAAGACTGTCCCAAGTAGGTTGATGGAGAAAAAGAAGACAAGGAATAGAAGATTTAAGCTTGTTGCTTACTTTCTAGCTTGGATTAAATTTGTGCGGACACGGCGCCGCGGTCCAAATAAGCCTATTTGGCGCCAATATTCTGTCGTTAAATGGGCGATCAACAATGAGTTGTTGCCTGATTACATAATTTTGGTTATACTCGCAATAGTAAATACATTGGCTAACCGGGCTACTACATCATTCTCACAATATGCTGTTTGTTATTGACGCCTGGATTATTGTTATTATTATCATTAATTAATGGTTTCAAATGACCAATTTGGTGAGTTGGTCCCTTAATAATTTTCATGTGACATCCGGAACATATTTTGTACGATCTTCACGTGAATACAAACAAATGCTGTTCCCAACAGTAGTAATTACCTGACTTTCACATGTGATTTTCTTTACGTATAATAATAATAAATCTGTTTCCCGCTGCTCCTTTGTCATGCACTTAATTTTGGAGCATCTTTCCTTTGTCGAAGAACAATGACATAGAAAAAAGTTACCGAAATAATAGTCAGAATCCCAAGATGTTCAAACATTTGGTTTATTTACTGACATGATTAAAAAAATGCTCAGAAACAACGATGAAATTCGAAATTGTCAACATGCTAAGATGCATTTTCGTCGCCTTTCTCATGTTACAGGGTGGTTTGTTTTCGCACTATAAAGTAATCTTTATACAAAGACGCCAGGCATAGATATACGAATGAGAGAATGTAAACGGAACTTTTTGTGATTCGAGCCTTGTAAAGATAGACCTCAAGGATTCATTTCGTTGAGTGTGAGACGACTCGAATATCAAATAAAAAATCTTCCGCTAGTAGAATCCATGTCATCCAAAACCATTCGTTTACCATATTTATACTATCGAGTGAGTGTATTCAGTTAATTTAGAGTTCTTCTCTTGTTTTCTCCAAAAAAACATCATCAATCATATATGCCCCACTAACTTGGCACATGAAATTATCAAGGAAATAATTCGGACGCGGTATCTTTACACCATTTAATAATTACTCCTGCAAAGCCGGCTTGTATATTTCGTTACGTATCTTGTAACAATGGTTTTCGCACTAACTAAAATTGAACAGGAATATTAGAGTTTGAATATTGAACCGATTCATTTGCTTACCTAAAATCGCGTAAACTTTATTCTTATCACTAGATTTTGACGTCAACAATCAAAATCGAACTTCACTTAAATCTTGCAATATCCCGGACATGTCATACACACCGGTTATTCTAGTCATTATGGTAAACAGTATGAGAAGCTCCTCAAGACTAAGAGTCATACAACAATTTGTCTGTGTAAAAATATTATTCGGTGGTAGTTACGAGGTTACGTTTATAATAGATTATTATAGGATTGGGCTGTAGAAATTGGGGTAGATTTATATGGAACTAAAATAAGGGAAATTCGTCCAATGTCAAAGCTGACAAGTGGGGGAATATAACCGAGGTACAATTGTATACTACTTAATGTTATTTCATAATAATGGCGATGCAGATATTTGTTCACCAATTGACACGTGTAGAATATGTGCCTTAGCTCCAAGTCCCAAGGCGGGGACCGTGCTACAGTGTGCATATAGGGAGAGTAATGCACTTATGGAGATGCGTCTGTAATAATAAATTAAGGGTATGAGGCTACGATAACAACAATGACGTATTCCCCGAATGTTTGCATAGCCACAAGGATTTTGATCAGTGGATTTTGGCACAATCTAAAATTAGCTCACTACGCAAAGAAAAAGAGACATATACACGCGCTTGCGTGATCATTGTTATTACTGTTCTACCTCAGTTGGTGACCTGTCTCGGTGACAACTGGGTGACTGGGTGCTGAACTAAAAATACACGATTATTACTTGGTAAACCGCTAATCCCTATATCGGAAGGAATATTCGCTTCTTGTCCCGCGATTATTCCATTGGCAAATACGATAATTACTCGATTACTACGAAAGTTTGATATAGCTACAATTTCACTCCAACCTATAGACTTCCGGTCTAATTTCATCGAGGATCTAGGATTAGTGTCTACCGATCGACACCTGAGGTCGTGAGTAGAAAAGCCTGGTTTAGAGGTCACTAACCGTCATTTTATTTAACTAAAGTAGGAGACGCTATAGCTCCGCTCTAGAGTCGACGATCGATTGATCTCCCGCGATTGTTAGATTTGCCCAAAATTGGCCTGCAGATATGGGATACTATTACAATTATTATTTATTATTAATAAACAATTGATGATCGGCAGGTATTATCTCCTGATATATCGACAAGTGTAGATGAGATGAACAAACATGATGCAACTTGTGTTAATCGGCCATATAGTACATATTCTGCATTTGTTGAGGCATTATTTGTTGTTGAGGATGATTTATCCCGAGCATGTTTGGTAGCATGCCGTATGAAGGGCCCATTGGCATCGGGCCCACTCGTGCGTGAGGGAAATTGAGGCCAAAATGGGAATGAGAATGGTGAGGGAAGAGACGTTTGCCTGAACGAAGCTCCAACTCAACTCGAGTTTCCAATATGTTGGCGCGTTCTTTCAAATTTCTGTTTCGTCGTTCTAGATACTTGATATAGTCAACTGCTTTAAATAAAATGGTTGATTTAGAATTGTTGACGTTCTTCAGCGTGGGTATAATATCCGTAAGTTCTTTGAAACCGGCACGAATTGTATTACGACGCTTTTGTTCTGATGCAATATGGTTTGCGCGCTTCTCTTCTTCTGTTAACAGCTCTTTGTATGGTTTTCGTGAAGATTTCGCCGATATCAATTTTCCGTCTACTTTCATATCTATTGCGTTATCAAAATTGGAAGAAGTTTCATCAAATTCAGAGGAATCATGCGGCTCTCGTTTCGGTTCCACTTCATGGGAAGATGAAGCTGGACTTGAAGGAGTGGTGGGTTTGTCGTTAGCTGCAGAAGAACGATGATCTTCCCTAGATGAGTTACCATTACGGTTATCACCGTCGATAGATAAACACGAAATTTCCATCGTTGGAGATATATCTTCTGGCTTGGGACTGGATGCTGGCGAAGAGGATTGTGAACTTCGCCGCGATAATGATTTGGTCTGAATTTGACTTAATCGTGGGTTGGAAGCTCGGCGTGATGATTCTAAGGATTTGTCAATGTCGTCACCCGATTTGCGTTTAGCCGGAATTGAAGGTATGGGATCACCCGAAGCTAATTGGTCATTCTTCTGTTTTGGCGACGACGATAGCACTAAATTCTGAGTACGCGGTGATAGGCTTGTCGAGCTTGAAACTGTTGGTTGGTGTGATGACGATGAACTAGACTGTCCAATTTCAAAGGGACTATCAAGCGAGAAGAGTGGATCGTTCATATCATTGGATGGAAGGTAAGGTGGTAATTGGGGTAAATCGTTTGGGAGTTCGGGATTGAACATAAAGTTGGGATTTTCTTCAAGGGGACGAAGGAATGATCCGAAGATGAAGTCATGCTCCGCGGGACTTAGAAGCTGCTGGTTCTGGTCAAAGTCATTGTTCTGTCCAAAAATTTGAAAATTAGACAAATCTGGTAGATTCCAGTCATATTTGAAATCTATATAATGGGGCGAGAATATGGGAATAATTAGAAACGAATTTACATATTAGTGGACATTGTAAGTAATTTAGCCTTTGTAACAGATATCCCACCATAAGCAGGCTATCTACACCAATTAGCAACCTATCCGACATAATTCTTCTATAGATAACTATTGGAATGCTTTCTACACTGTATTCTAGAGTCTTTCTTCTTATTTTTCCGTCTCCCATTTCTTCTCTCACCCTTAACAAGACAGATTACCTTCAAAAGGTGGTGGCTCACTCATATCTCCCTGTGCCATATTCGAAACCAGAAAATCGTTTCCCAGTCTTTCACTGCCCATACTTGACATTGACATTTCGTCTGATATTGAATCTGTGGGTAGTGCATTTCCGAATACTGATGTCGTCCGAGTGTCCTGTGGAGGAGCAAATGAGGACGAGAGGAGTTGTTCCTTGCCGGCAGTAGAAATATTCTCTCCGTGGTAACAGGAGTTTTGTTGCATTGGTTGCAGTTGTATTGCAGATTTCATGAGGTTTTTTTTTGTTTATTAGTTTTATGGGGTTTCCCTCCTCGTGATTAATCTTACGAGTCCTGCTTGCGCTTCCCTGTGTATTGAGCCTCGTGGACTTTTATTTGTGTGTTGGGAATAGTGTGATAGAGTATATAGTTTTGGTAAGTTTATATTATATATTGCCTTGACCAAAACTTTGACGAGCAGCTTCTATTAAATAAGTTACAAAATTTGGATGGAGTCTAAGCGGGGTTAAAAATGTCTAACGTGAGAAAATGGGTATAAGAAATGGTCTAAAAAGACGGGCTAATTGAAGGGATTTTCAGAAAAGTGAGTAAGCTATATATATAAATACGTTTGTTTTGGTTCCAGAAGAGCTGGATATGAAAAGAATAGTTACTCTATTATAATAAAAGCATGTGCATTTTCAGAAATGCATGACGTTGTTCCCGCACGATATGTAGATATAAATTCATACTCACTCTGATTGTTGTATTAATATTAATTGGTTTTTCCAGCAACCACAAGAAGGCTGTTACAAATACGTCTATAATGACTCTGTGAGGCGAAACTTTCAAGAAGTGGCAGATAAGGATGAAAAGGTGATATAGTTTGAATTACTATTAGAGATTATATTTCATAATACGTGATAATTAGATGGTTGGAAGGGATAACGAGGATGTGATAACCCAGTTTATTTTTAATTTTGAATTATTAAAGGGCGAGGTCTTAAAAAAAGGTAGGGTTTTTTTTTAGTATTCCGAAACGGAAGAGAGAGAGAGCGAGAAGACGATGATGAGTTTAAGTCCATTTATTATAAGAGAATACTTGACTATAGTTTTCCTATGTGCTAGTGTGCTATAAAATCTTTCCTTTTGAGATTTCCTCACATCATAAAATGCTAATAATAGTATATAAAAAGTTACATAATCACGCGTAGAATTAATATGGTTTGATTCTTGCTTGCTACAAATTGGGGTTGTAGTAGTTTGGGTGAGGGTAAGGTCGTTTCTTTTTAGAGAATGCCGAACCTTTCCAACAAGTCTATGATCAACATGTAATTTTCCCATTGTCAGAGGATGCTTTAGCGTCATCTGAGATGTGGCGCTTATTCACCCGCCTATCGGTTCATAAATTTTGTTGTTGATGAAACTCACGCCCCTTACTTCTTTCTTCCTTTTTTTTTTTCCCCTAATAAACATTACAACTAAATATGGTAGCATTTTTCAGGAGGAGTGGGGTCCACATGTCCGACAAAATATCCACGGATATTATCGAGGGAATCACACATATAACGATAACATTAGAGACCCCAATCCGAAAGACAAGCTCGAGGAAATACTTGCTAGACTAGACATATAGCACATTACGAAAGTTGTTCTGTTGTAATTAGATAATAATGGGCATTGGGTTTTTTATTCATCAAATTCTGTTAAAGTAGCTAAATCGACTCTCACGTTATTGTTGGGAGCGCTAAGGCTTAATTTGGGGCTGATTAATCGCAAGATAAGGGGCGAATAATTGGGGTAAGGAAAAAACGTTTTATGATGGGCGGATTGTGCAAAGGATAACATCTTGTTTGCGTTTATTATCATTTCCGGATTTATATGTGCACATATAAATAAAACAAAGAGATAAGGAATAATAAATATCACATAATACTACATATAATTATTAAATACATACAGTATATTAACACCGTTATCAATTATGTTATCACTATGATCAGTAGATCTGCAATGTTGGAACAAACTTGGCAAGCAAAGAGAATAATTGGATACACAATTCACCATAAACTGAAATCGTATTCCACAGACAAAAAAGCCACAACGAATGGATCCCCATAATATGTGTGCATCAGCCGTGGGTTACCACCCCAGGTGCGGGAGTCGTGAGTGCGACTTTCATGTTTCTGATTGGTTGCATTGAACATATTGAATCTGAGACTAGTAAAAACGTCCCTCACTCATTTTTTCATTCTACAAGTTCCATAAATAACATATGCTGTATAAACCCCTCTGTTTAGTCCAACCCAATCATGACACGATTCGTTTTCGAAACATGTGAAAATGCTCTCTCCAAAAGCGGGGTAACTTGAACATTCGAGTAGTGTGGTTGCACACTCGAGCACAATGAAGCCAAAAGAGTATGGGAAAAACGCACAATCACCATATAAAACTGCCATCTGATTGCGTAGACTTCAGTGCATATGATGCTACACATTCACGACCCCATTATTCACTGCAAGTCTTTGTCTTCAAATACTATTTTTGACTTGGCCATTGTATATTCCTGGCACTAATTCTTAATGTAGACAGTCACACACCACAACAATGCTAACACTTATCGAGTAATCGATCAACACAGCGTCTAAATAATAATTGTGGTGCATATATTCCATGTTCTAAATAGCGACAAGCTGTACGATAATAATATATCGCCGTATATTTACATATTATATAAGATAAATAAAAATACAATGAACAGTAGCAGTCACCTTGCATAAATATCTAATAAGCTTATTTGATGCTCTTGTTTCTTCATGTGATAATCCAAGTGAAAAATGGCAAGATCTCCGTTGGATAAATGACTTGTCAGTTAAACTTTCGGCTTTTCCTACGCAAAAATACAAGCTGCAGGGAAGCAAGAAACATGGTTGAGATGAGTAAAAGTGTTGGTGGATAAGGTTGAGTGGCAGATACCGTCTGTGACTAAGTAGGGTTAGTAAATGTGATAGACTATTTCATAGTTACTCTCCTCTCCATCTATGTCTCTAATACTAAGAGTGCTTCCGTATTAAAGAAAAGCGTCTATGCAATGTAACTAACAAAATAGAACCGATATACGACTTTCTTGCATCTATTGATTAATTATTTCCCGATATTTTATACAGTTTCCCAAAGGGTATTTTGTTTCATACTTGACATGATGAATGTTATCAATCTATATAACTGATGCTTTGGATAAAATTGCGCACTTCATTACCTAAATGTGTTTGGAAATGTTTAATGCAATCGGCGCTTGAATAGAGTCAATTTTTGGCGTCAGGGACGAATTCGTTCCGGTCACACGGCGATGGCGTCTCATCTGTTCGTACCGTCAACCGATTCATAAGGACGAGTGTTTTGCGGCACGAATCGGAGACGAATGTATAGTACGTTCATGGCGACGTATAATGCATTGGTACCATGCTTGGCTATACAAGTTAGGCAATAGAGCAAACGATATGAGCGGGATAGGCGAGAACATAATTCCCGTAAGTGTTCAATTTATGAATTCAACATTTTAATTTACTTTGATATGTACCACGGTTGATGGCGTTATACAATCATCGTGCAGATGAAAATTTCAATGGGCGTCATTAACTTGGGTTAGCAGTAGTAACACTTGTTCTTTTCCACTTGCATTCTCAACCCCCCCCCAACTTTCATATAACTAAATTTGTAAAAAACCAATGTGTGCGCATTCTTCAAACGCATGTTACGCCTCGAATATCCCAGCGAGAGATCATCGTCATTTCCCGATTCTAAGCCATCCCGGACTTCTGTCTTATAGTTGGATTGAACAATAATCATGTCAATAAATTATTGTCGTCCACTTTGTATATCAGACATATTTGTATGATCCGATCTGATTAATGGTACCATACTGTATTTATTCTGGGCTCGCGTTCAGAGAATGCATTCTTGGCTGGGGGATGGGCACAAACTAACAACAAATATTATTACCATTGCTGATGATCCAAGGGTGAACAAATTGATCCGAGAGAAGCTTGTTTTAAATTGAGTATACTATGCGATGATAAACAAGATATTCAGAATGAGAAGATTGAATTTATTCGAGATGGACTCGGGATAAACACAAGGCACAGGTCAAGGGATTGTTCACTCAGTCGGGCAATGAATTGGTGTGGGAAAGAAAAGAATCATGTCTATATGATTTTTGAGGATCGCGGATGCGAATGTAGTACCTATTGGTCACTGCATTGCTGTTTCTCGGAACCGAACGAACAGTTATGGACACTTATGGCAATTCTGAAGTTGGGGTAGACTAAGTTTAATAAAAGCTTTATTACTATTACTATGTAACACCCACATGTCGATGTTTCACATGATCAGCTATACACGCATGTAACTTACATGAGCTAATTGAGACTAATATTAATATACAGCACGTTCAACTGTATGAAAAGCGGGTAATGGATTAGCAGCGTGGGAATTAATACGCTACTCATATAAAAAGACGTTTGGGAAGTTATAAAACTCTTTCAGTAAGTAGATCACTGATTATGGAAGGTTATGTCAGCAATTAAAAATATATCTGGCTTACGTCTTGCGTGCAACTTAGATGGTCAAGTTTTGTCTCGGTTAATAATTTGTCTGTCTTTCAAAGATATATTAGCATTCCTGCTAATACGTACGGCATTTCGAATAACTTCGACCAATTCAAATGAATATATAACAATTTTCATAGTCCTTGAACTTAAGATCTGTCTTTTAGTCAATTCGTTTCTCAACGTCATTACTATGGAGCAGATACATTCTCCATGTTCTGCCAGATTTAACTCTTTAGCTTGTCAGTATTATTACTCTCAATATATGTATTTACAAATGACCCTTAGAATATCTGTACAAAGTAAATAAAACCACTTTCAGCCTCATTGCGCATGCTAGCAAATTAATTCACTATATATTAACCACTCGCGTATTTTTTAAGAAAAAACATGGAGAGTAAAATTGCATAAACGGCGTTCTTTTTTACTTACTTTTTTTTCTTGTACTTATCCTCTTATCATAATATTATATTTAAAAAAAAGCACTGCTGATCAGTTTGATGGTTCTGATTTCAACTATGCCGATTAAATTGCTTTCAAATTAAGCTACCCAATTAAGAATTTATGGAATAACTACAAATAGGCTCTGAACATAAGTCGAGTTATGCTAATAACGCGGCATTGAAAGACACCCCGGAAAACCATATTTACGCATTTTAACAAATTGGGAGGCCAACAAATTACT